TGTCCTTGATTTTTCTTTATTTAGTGGCAACTGCAACTGCTAGTATTGTCATTGTCATGCGTCTGTGATGGTACAAGAACTGAAGAGAGTTCTGCCCCCACATCAAACGGATTTTTGTTTGAATTCGCTTATCTGTACCAGCCAGCCACTTAGGCTGCGTTTGGTTTATGAATTTAGATAGGAATTTAGAAAATAAAAGGAAAAAAGTGTGAAATATACGTGAAATATAGTTGTATTTCATTAAATATTTTATTTATTTTTCTTTTTCCTTCCAAATCCCTACCTAGACCGACCCAGTGCTCCAGACACGCCTTAGTGGGGCTGCAAGAAAGAAAGGGGGTGTTTGGTGGAGATTATGTTAAGCTAAAAATTAATGATCAGAAAACAAAAACTAAAAATATCTCGTTCTTAATTTTTAAATAATCAAATTTTATTTCAGTTTATTTTAGTTATTTTTTCTTCAAAAGTTATAAATAAAAATTGTACCATATAGATAGATTTTTAAATTAAAATAAGTTATAATTGTCCTCTCAAAATCGGTACCAAACAGCTCAAAAGCAATCTATTGGATATTTTTATGATATTATTGTATTTACCACCTTGTTAACACAATATGATGTCATGAGTTCCACTATTCTTAACCACGGGTAGTTGCGAACCATTTTGTAGTGGAATTGGGGTTCAACTCACATGAAAAAAAGGTCAGTACCTTTTGTTGTTTTCGCCATAAAAGAAAGAAAAAGAAAAAAAAGTTGTTTATTGAGATAACGAGACTTTGAAATGACTTAAATAAAATGAAAAAATATTTAGATTTTGTTTACAGTTATACAAAAATAATTTCAATAAGCTGAAAATCTAGAAGCTAAAGGATATTTTTTACTTTTATTTTTTGATTAATAATTTTTTTAATTTATAATAGATTATACCAGCCCATTGACCCCTAGAGTGTTTTGGATCAATAAGAACGGTAGTTGCATGCTGGGTGAACCAACTTGAGTCGGTCAAAAACACAACGCACAGAACTGCAACTGATTTTTTTTTTTTTCGATGACTTTTGTAGCTTTGTTGTTTGTAATTTGTGTACAGTTTTTTATTTGTTCCCTTGGACTTCGTTTTTTTTCTTTTGCTTCTTTGGTATGCTATTATTAAACTTTTGTTTTAATATAAAATCGTTTTTAAAAAAAAAACACATATCATATTAGGGAGGCATAGGGTTATTCGAATCGCATAACTCGTCCTATTCGAATCAATCCGCATATAAATAGATGGTTTCGCAGAGACAATGCGGATTGATGCAGTTTGGAATATGACATGATTGCGAGTTGCGGGTTTAATCCGCACCTGCAAGAGCCCGTCCGCACTTAGACTTTTTTTTTTTAAATTTTTTTTTTTAAAAAACCTTAACCGTTGTTATTTCATGATTGCATTTTGGATGAATGTAAAAGTTAATGAAGAATTATTTTTAGGTAAGTTTAGAATTTTGAATGATTTTACTTTAATTATATTGTTGGGTAGTAGATAATGAATGAGATTGATGATCTAATTTAGGATTTTGAAAGATGTACTTGTGTTAATTTATAATTTGATTTAAAAGTTTAAGATTTTGATAATTTGTTTGTGTTCGGAATTGATTTTGTTATGCTTTTAATTTTATAAGTTTTAATTCATTAATTATTAATGTTGGAGCATTTTAGAAAATAGGAGGAAAAAGGCCCAAAATAAATATTTACAAAATGAAGAAAAAAAAGCTCCAAGATAAATTTTTAAAGGAAAAAGTGCAATTCGCAAACTTCCTGCACATCTGCGAACCTTATCTACACAAACCGTAACCCACATTGCAGGCGGCTGTGGGTTGAATTTTTTCCAAATCACATACATACAGACGAGTCCAAACCGATTCGTAAATCGTCCAAAATCAAACTGCGGTCAACTCTACAACACAGATGTGCTTTAGGACTATTAAATATCATTTAGATCCCATTTGGTAACTAGGCTTCTAATTTTTATTTTATTTTTTATTTTTTTAAAAAATCAAATCAAATCAAATCAAAAAGTCATTAAAAAAATCAAACACAACTCCTTATTCAAGTTTTCCCACACAACTAAAAATCCCATTGACACAACTAAAAATCCCATTCCAAACAGTAGGCTGTATTTGGTATGAAATTCTAATCATGAATCTACACCCATATTTGAAAGAAAAAAAAGCTCCAAGATAAATTTTTAAAGGAAAAAGTGCAATTCGCAAACTTCCTGCACATCTGCGAACCTTATCTATACAAACCGTAACCCACATTGCAGGCGGCTGTGGGTTGAATTTTTTCCAAATCACATACATACAGACGAGTCCAAACCGATTTGTAAATCGTCCAAAATCAAACTGCGATCACCTCTACAACACACAGATGTGCTTTAGGACTATTAAATATCATTTAGATCCCATTTGGCAACTAGGCTTTTAATTTTTATTTTCTTTTATTTTTTTTTTAAAAAATCAAATGAAACCAAATCAAAAAGTCATTAAAAAAATCAAACACAACTCCTTATTCAAGTTTTCCCACACAACTAAAAATCCCATTGACACAACTAAAAATCCCATTCCAAACAGTAGGCTGTATTTGGTATGAAATTCTAATCATGAATCTACACCCATATTTGAGTATGGTGTCAGATTTAAATTTTGAAATTTGACCTACCCAGTCGTCCTCCCGAACGTCCGGCTGATTGACTGAAACAGTACAATTTTTTTTTTTTGACAATTGGCATTTGTTATTTTTTATATATTAAATAAAAAATATGTTCTGAATTTTTTAAATTTTTTTATGAGTTTTAAATAGAATTTTGAGTTGTGTGTTTGGTTATGAGTTGTAAATTTTTTAATCAAATATCATGTCACATCAATTATTCCAAACTCAATTCAAAACTCTTTTCAAAACTCATAACCAAACAAATTTTCTACACTTAAATCATAATTTCAAAACTCATAAACTCAAAATACAATTCTATTATCAAATTATAATTCTAAAACTCTACTAAACGCAACCTAACTTTTTTTTACCCCATAAAAAAAAAAAAACTTAAAAGTAAAAGTCACTAAAAACTAAAAACCCAAACGACTCTACTATGGGTGATTTTATTTACACACCATTGTTTCTCTTAGAGCGTACCATTTGCTATTTTTTTAAAAAAATTCCTATTGTATCCCTTAACTAAATTACTCTTTTAGACATTACCCAAAAATTCAATCTCTCAATTCACAGACCACACCGGCCACCACTACTGGCATAAACACAACCACCACTATCACCATCGGCCACAGCCATCACCGTTACTATTGCCATTGTCGCTACCCCTTTTCTCGCGTCCATTTCTTCTTCTTTTTCTTCTTCTTCTCCTCCTCCTAGATCTAGGGTTCAAGTTGGGAACTTCTTCTGCTTCTTCTAGATCTAGGGTTCAAGTTGGAATGTCAAATCTAGGTTTAGGATGGCGACAATAGCCGCGACCACCAATGAACTCTTCTTAAATCTCTCTCTCTTTCTCTCTCTGTAGTGAAGTCATGGAGATGGGAGGATTGTAGAGGTGTCGGGTTGTGGTGGGGTAGTTATAGCTGACTATAATGGTAGTTGAAGGAGTGGTGGTGGAGAGCCAAGTTGGGAAAGGATTGGAGAGAGACTACAAGGCTGGGAAGATCGATCACAAAGGTGGTGAAAGAAGGGGTTGTGAAGGACGATTGCAGATCGGCATTGGAATGGGAATGGCGTAGAGTGGCAATGGAAGAGTGTTGGAAGGGGTGTCGGTAAAGAGAGTTAATAAGGGCTGGTGGCCGGGGAAGGGATGGTGATGGGCGATTGTTGATCTGGCGGCTGTGATTACGGTAGCGACAGCAGTAGTAGTGGGTGGTGATGCGAGGTTAGGGTTAGGGTTTGTGATTAAGGAAAAAAAAGTATTTTGGTATTAAATGAAAATTAATGGTGTGAATTGAAAAAAAAATTAAAATATTCAAATGAAGTGTGGTGTGTGTATTGAGAGATTTGGTGGAGTGTAAATAGAATTACCCTAAGTTTCCGGAATGCATAATTATTCTTTTCAAAAGACAATGTCAGTGGTGTATGCCTACTCAATAACAGCGCTATCTTCTAACATGACCTAAAAAATGAAAATAACTTCAAGAAAATTATGAAAAATCATTAGTCAGACACAACAGATGTGTTGTTTTGAAAAGAGTGAAAATTTTCTGGTAACATAGGTCTCTGTGAAACATATGCCAGGAATACAAGATAAAATGTATAGTGCTAACACAAACCTCACAAAAATTCCAGTTCATTCAAGTCCATCTAAAGCAAAGGATAAAAATATTTACTACTTCAAATCACAAGTGATCAAAGATCCAAATTATAAAATCGGGGGTATTTTTCGGGGAAAAACCGCTTAAATCGGGGTCGGGATCGGGGATCCCCGTCGGGCCGGTTTCAAATTGCCATCCCTAGGTGTCGGTAAAGAGAGTTAATAAGGGCTGGTGGCCGGGGAAGGGATGGTGATGGGCAATTGTTGATCTGGCGGCTGTGATTACGGTAGCGACAGCAGTAGTAGTGGGTGGTGATGCTAGGTTAGGGTTAGGGTTTGTGATTAAGGAAAAAAAAGTATTTTGGTATTAAATGAAAATTAATGGTGTGAATTGAAAAAAAATTAAAATATTCAAATGAAGTGTGGTGTGTGTATTGAGAGATTTGGTGGAGTGTAAATAGAATTACCCTAAGTTTCCGGAATGCATAATTATTCTTTTCAAAAGACAATGTCAGTGGTGTATGCCTACTCAATAACAGCGCTATCTTCTAACATGACCTAAAAAATGAAAATAACTTCAAGAAAATTATGAAAAATCATTAGTCAGACACAACAGATGTGTTGTTTTGAAAAGAGTGAAAATTTTCTGGTAACATAGGTCTCTGTGAAACATATGCCAGGAATACAAGATAAAATGTATAGTGCTAACACAAACCTCACAAAAATTCCAGTTCATTCAAGTCCATCTAAAGCAAACGATAAAAATATTTACTACTTCAAATCACAAGTGATCAAAGATCCAAATTATAAAAGGGTTCAAACTGTCTCAAAAGAGCAAGATAAAAAGGACTCAAGAATTTACATATTTCAGCAAGTTTCCATGAAAGTTTTATTTACATAAATTAGCTCGAATGCATTCAGATTGATCCAAATGTGTTCTCGCCGCTGTAGGTCATGTACAGGAAGCCATCTTCATCCTTGTTTTCCTCATAAATTGCAGACATCATGGCAGCTGTGGCATGGCAAATACACAAACGAACACAAGTACTTTAAAATGCTCATATTAAAACTTCATTTTTTTTTTCCCATTTTGGGTTATGGATTTTTATTGTAATCAACTTTTACATTTTAATGTTATGCAGGGCATAATAATTTATTTTAAATCAAGTTATTAATTAATATGAACTTTAAAACATATACAATAGACAATTTATTTTCATAAAACTTTTATTATAGTATCTATTTTATCCTGTATGCAACTGGTTCAACGCTAGTAAGTAAATGAATGTTGGCATACAATCACAAAATTCAGAAGCCTATGACAGTGAAGATATACATCAAGAGTAAAAACTTTCTCACCAGTAGGTGGCAAAATGTTCTTGACAAAGATAAAGATGGCCTTTTCAGCACCAAGCTTTATCCTCTTCCGGACCACATAGACAAACTGCCCAACAGTCAAATCAGCAGGTACCAGATATCTGCATGCATTTTATGGACAAAAAAGAACTTCATTAGTTTTGACCAATCTCTAAAACATCTTTTCACATTTGTGACGATAATCATGATAAAATATGGAAAATAAGGTTTAAAAAAAATAGCATTTCCAACTCCAAACAAAATTATCCTTGAATTACTTTTACCAAACATATTTCAAATGCTGGTCAAGGTGGAAGACAAAAAGACTTGTGTTTCTAACAAAGCTTCCAAATAAAATAAGGCGGTTACTGAGGAATTTTTTAGTCATGTAGTTTTTGTTTGTAATATTCATTTCCCCTTTTACAAAAGATGTTCTACCTGGACCTCCTTCGAGACATGGATAAGCAATAGACAAGGTATAATGGGTATAATCGGTAAGTTTTAACATGCCATCAAGACACAATTCACTCAATCAAAAGGTGGTTGCACATATCTACGAATTACATGCTATTTCTTGAATTTATGCGACTGAACTCAATCCTTTAACGAATAAATAACGCATTTTACTTCAACCTTTAAGACAAGGTTGAAAATCAAATAGAAGAAACATATGGAAAAATAATAATAAGATAATCTTTTCAATTCATGATGATGAATCCTACAGATGCAAAACAACTGTACAGATTTATGATCAAGCAAAGCATCCTAAACTATCCTCTGTTTAATCGAAGTCCAAAAATAGTAAAGTTTTACAATTGCATTATGTAGCACAACCCAATTTATAGTTTCACAGTAAATTCAAGATTGCATGTGTTGAAATAAGGAATAATTAAGGAACAGAGAAAGTACTTTATCAAAAAATCAGGTATATAATGAGTAATCTTAAAAATTAATTATTGCAGGAATGTACTGACTTCTTCTTGTCAATGTCAGGGATGTCACTTCTTTCAGCTTTCTCCACAATAACCTATGTAGAAGTAAAGGAAGAACAAAATTCAACCAACACTTAACATGAATAACAACATCCTACATAAAGACAATCTACCAGATAAAGAAAATAAAACATACCGGAATTCTATCCGGATACTTTTCCCTGATACGAGAGGCTTCTGCCTGCCTCCTTTCTGAAATGTAGCAAAAAAGCAAAAAATTATATAAGCAAGTTCAAAACAAAAGCCATTAGTTAATTTCAATCTTTAAACCAACATCCTGGATGATCATAGAAACATCCTTCTTGTCAAATGTTCAGAAGTGCTCATGCAAGTTGCACAGCTTCATTGCATGATCATAAGTTATGTTCTTGCATGGAAAGAGAGAGAGACGCAGAAATGTTACTCTTTTTTCCACATCAACTATCAATGTCAAACAAATCTTCTCCTTCTGACAAGAGAGGACAGACTTATGCAAGCAATATTTGACTCAAATTTTGACATGAATCAAATCTTCTATATTTTATTTTTATTAATTTGATAGGTAAATAAAATTCTTTAACCAAAAAGGGAAAGGAAAACCCCCAATTCTTTTTTCAAAAGAACAAAAAAAAACAGAAAGAGGGTTTGAATTTTGAACTTGATTATCTCTACTTGTATTACAAAATCAGCCACATATTTCTCACACATTCAGATAAAAAGCGAGTCCGCAAAAACTTTTCAAGTGGCACCCTGCTAATGAAGAACTCATTTTTTTTTTAAAGCAATCAAACCTTGCAGGAACTTGTCTATATCCTCGAAGCAATTCCAATCTTAAACTAAGGAAAGTTCCAATGTTGCTGATAGGCAACAGCATCAAAAGCAGAAGCATACAACACTTGCTCGAGTAAATGAAAGTCAAACCAGACACACAATAGCATAGCATAATTTCAACCTAAGACAAGTCCATCACAAAGGATACTTGCAAAATTGTGGATCAAATATTGGAATAACTATAAAACGGAGCAGAACAAATTATCCATGGATGACATACACTTCTACACACTAAAGACCCAATTCAACAAAAAATTTAGAGATCAGAGACTTAATCATTACAAGAACCCTCAAATCACCAGAAACCCATATCGTAAAATCACATTAACATACTTTTACACAATAAAGATCCAATTGAACAAACATTTTAGAGATCAGAGACTTAATCACTACAAGAACCCCCCAAATCACCAGAAACCTATATCGTAAAATCACATTAATCAACTTAAATTGAGTAACAGAAAACCAAATCCATCAAAAAAGGACACCAAGATCAGTAATAATTGTACAAATTCAACAAGATTCAGATCAAGAAACCATGATAGTATCCAATAAAACCCAAAATCCAAACAGCGAGACCTAAGGGTGATCCAAATCAGATCACAGATACTAAATCTAGAGAGAGAGAGAGAGAGAGAGAGAGAGGACCGAGTGGGTGTTCCGACTTGAAGGAGCTCTTGGCCATGGCTATTGATGATACAACGATCAGCGACTATTGCGATCCTTGTGAAAGTGATGGAAGCTAAAGAATATTAGGGTTTTTTTTTTTTCTCTCTCCTGAAAAATCAAGATGGATGTCATAAAAAAGCGAAATTTTATAAGGCAGCTTAAATAGTGCTAAAATTAAGGCGAGTTTACATTTATTTATTTTCTCTCCCCTTAAAAAAAAGAAAAGAAAAAAAATACACTCCATAATTAGACGATCTTGAAAGTATTATAGGCGTAAAATTCATATTTCATTTACTATTTTGAACTTTTAATTTTATAGGATTTGGGCTTTTAGTTTTATAGGATTTAGATTTTTTAACTCTTTAAATTTTTGTATTTTTTTGTATCTAGCCTTGAAGATTCACTCCATCATCCAAGTATCTATATGTCTACATCAGTTATTGACATCAAGGTACTCAAAAGAAAAAGATAAAATCTGTAAAAAATAAGGCCTCTCTTCAATGATCAGCAAAATTCACGCTAAAAAACGACAACAGCTACTGTAATTATTTGTGTCTGTTAGTAGTAAGCCTTCTCCTTTACTCACTACTTTAATAGAGCAGATGATCTCTATCCTACTCCATTAAAGAAAAGTTGTGGAAATCCTTACACGTGTATTGTATTATATTATAGTGTCAAAATCTCCATTAAAGAAAAGTTGTGAGAATTCTTACACGTGTATTATATTATATTATAGTGTCAAAATCAAAAATCAAGACGAGAGGATTGAATGATGTGCGATGGGGCCCAAAGCAGCACTCAACATCTTTATCCTAACCCTTTATTAATTTTTTGATTGTCTGTATCTAGAGTAATTTTAGGAAGATTGTCAGAAAACATGTATATAAGTGTAGCCATAAGGTCTTTGCATTTATTATGTTGTAGAAATTTTGTAAAGCCTATGACTAGGCTTTTTGTGCAAAAGTTAGACGTAAGGGATGAGTCTTTGGATTTTTATTTGTATCCATTAAATGTATTTGTATAAATTGGCATTCATGCCAACGGAGAGAGCAATGAAAAATTCCCTTCACTCTTCCTTGCAAAAATTTCTCCAACTTCTCAAACTCTCGTCTAAAAAATTCTAAGTGTTCAAGTCTTTCAGAATCTCAAAGTCTGTAACATAATCTTTGTAAGTATACTACATATATATGAAGTGTGAGTAGCCTCTCTTTTTCCTTAGATATTTCAAAAGGATTACTCTTCTGTTCCAAAATTTATTTTCTTTTTGGAAAAACTAAGTTTATAAAATGCTTGCTTGTTCATTAATATTACATGCTTTGAACCTTCATAGTATCTATTGTTTTCTATTTCATTACTGAGTGACCTTAGCTGAAGAACCCGTATGAGCCGTGGTTAGGCATTAATGGTAAATTGTAGGCAGAATGGGAAATGTAAGAAATAGAAAACAAAAATATACTATGTTAAATGAGGCTTAGCTTCAAGATGGGAGTACATGTAATGAAGGCAAACATTGCTTAAAAATAGTTTTACCAAATAAGAAAAAGAATTTTAGAATATAAGGAGAGCAACTTGAGTAGAGATATCAAGGAAATATTTTTCATATAAGAATTTTAAAATCAAAATTTTATACTTTTAGAAGAAGAACTTAGAATTAAAATCAGATCTAGTACTAAGCTTATACAAGAATTAGAAGATAAAAAACTAAGATATCAATTTCTGTTATCATTAGCCTCTGGTAGATCTTTAATATATTATAGTTCGAAAATCACACAAATAAATATAAAACAAGAAGCCTTACAGCTAGCCATATAACAGCTTGAAGATTTATTAGCATAACTGTAAAATTAATTAGATAATTTTCAGCCCAACTTCAAAATAGTGGTAAACCACTAACTCACCCCAAAAATTGGTATCGGAGCAGCGTTCGATTTTAGGACAATTTAAGTTAGTTTATGCATTTTGCTTATAGTAATAGAGTAGTTTTTATTGTACGACAATTTAGTTATAAATTTCATATTATAGTAGCTTTTAATAATTTTAAAGTAGGATTTAATTTTGGATATAAAAAGAGTAGAATACTTAAATTTAGAACTCGGTAATTATAGCCATTACCTTAATATAGATAAAAATAAATTTCGTTGTAATTTTAAAGGAACTTTTACGCATCAGTTCCATAGCGAACAAAATTCTCCTGTAGAATTAATTAGATAATTCTCAACCCAACTTCAAAATAGTAGTAAACCACTAACTTACCCCAAAAATTGGTATCGGAGCAGCGTTTGATTTTAGGACAATTTAAGTTATTTTACGCATTTTGCTTATAGTAATAGAGTAGTTTTTATTGTACGACAATTTAGTTATAAATTTCATATTATAGTAGCTTTTAATAATTTTAAAGTAGGATTTAATTTTGGATATAAAAAGAGTAGAATACTTAAATTTAGAACTCGGTAATTATAGCCATTACCTTAATATAGATAAAAATAAATTTCGTTGTAATTTTAAAGGAACTTTTACGCATCAGTTCCATAGCGAACAAAATTCTCAGCTAAATAATATTATAGATCAACAGATTAATTTTGCAGAAAATATTAAAAAAGACGTAGATAAAATCAATAATCTTTTTAGTTTATCTATAGATCATCTTCGTAATACTCGCTGTATAATTAAAGATCAAGATAAAAAAATAGATTATATCCAAGACCAGTGTGGTTCAATCCTACAGAAACGAATATATTTAAATTTAGAAAAATTCCCACCAAGATAGAAATAAAAACTCTAATTTCAGCCATAAATATTAGTAGTTCAAAGCAAATAGAGTTAGAGTTTAAGCAATTAATTGAAAAAATTCGTCATCAAGTAAATCAAAGAGTTAAACAAATAGAACAGATCAACCAAATTCAAGATAGTTTAAAATAAAAATTAGAAATTTTAGAGCAACTTATAAGATCTTAATTTATGAGCAGTGATAAAAAAACTAATAGAGACTACCAGATTATTTTAAAATAAGCAGAAGACTTTCATAATAACCTAGAGGGAATTAGTAGCTATCAAGGAATAAATCAGTCAGATAAAATATTTGTAAGACAAAATAATATAGAAATTTTATTTCTTATCCGGTTGTGTGAAAAATTTGAACAATTATCAGAACAACTACATAGTTTAGAGAATCGTTTAGCTTCGTTAGAAAGATTAATAGTTCAAAAAGGAAAAGGAAAAAAGACAACCAAGTAAAGTCCAATCTTGAATAAATGAAGAAGATATAGCTAAATATTTTGAAAAGCTTAAATTACCAAAGAAATCTTCTTGTAGAACTTATAGAAAATAAAAATATTTAAACAGCTAGTAAAAGGAAGTAGCAGTAAAAAGCGTAATGAGGATGAAGATGTTAAAGTAGAAGAATTTATAGATGTAGAATAACAAATATAAAAATTTAAAAAGGAAAAATTAGAATTAATTCCAGCTAAATATGTATACAAGTTAGGAAAAATTCATAAAAAAATAATATTTATTTAAACACTATGGTGAACAAATGATTAGTGTAACTCAAGAAGATAAAAAAATAGATCTAAATTTAATAATAGAGAAAGTTATAAATATGTTGTAAATGAACACCTCAAAATGACCTACTTAGGACTAGTTGTGATAGGAGTTAAGGCTTCAACCAGAGAAAATTTAGGAGCTAAAGTTTTTGTATGTCTTTATGATGATAGGTTTAATAGTGTAGGATAGAGTATTTTAGGCAGCTACGAATTATATATGAATTCGAAAAGAGGAATAGTTTATTTTACACTAGATTTCCTTTTACCAACCTCGACTTTTCATAAAAAGATAAAAATAGGAATAAAAAGTAGAAGATATAAAATGAAAAAAAGAGAAAAGAATTTATTAGTTTGCACAGGATTTTTAGGCTTAGCGGTCTCAGAAAGCAATACCTATTACAAACTTACAAATGATCAAATAGTTAAGATATTAGACGCAAAAGCAACAAAAGCACTACCAGCTAAAAAATATAATTCTGAAGATAATACAGCACTAGATTGGAATTTAGGAGATTTTTTAGGACAAAAGTGGTTAGCCCCTCAAGATAATTTATTATATCAAAAAGCAAATGGAAGCTATGCAGTAAGATTTACTCAATACACATATGTAGCACCAAAAAAATCCGAAGATGATGAATTTAGTAATGTAGATAGAGAAGAAAGTTAAGATAATCATAGTGACATAAATCAGCTTTATGTAATGATAGAGGAAAACAATATCACAAAATAAGATATATAATATTGATGAGATAGATTTGGAAAGTTTCACCCTAAATGATATGAATAAAATATTAGATACTAGGTACTATGAATATATAACTAGGGGAGGCAGTAACATTTTCAGACCAAGAATTTCATACCGAATATGTAGATGATATTTTGGAAGATAAAATACATCCAAGTAAAATATTTAAAATACCTGAACAGTTTAACTTAGAAGACACTTTTGATATGAACACTCAAACAACAGAAAGCACAGGAACTAGCAACCCACATCATATGGTAGAAGAACCAGTAGAACCAATGCAATATGAAGTAGAAGGAAGGAGACCACTAACCAATACATGACGTAGTAAAGCAGATCCTAACAAATAGTATAAGTTTCATGGAAAGCACAGACAACCAGATATGAGCATACAATTACAACCAGCAGCCAACCAAGGAACCCTTTTAGACTTATCTAGATTCGACCCTCAGATATGGCAAGAAGTGATGGAAAAATGGAAAAAATACGCGGTAAAGGCATGGATGAATAATCCCTTTGAATCAACTAATAGGTGAGAATATATGGAAACACTTTTCATACCGAATATGTAGATGATATTTTGGAAGATAAAATACATCCAAGTAAAATATTTAAACTACCTGAACAGTTTAACTTAGAAGACACTTTTGATATGAACACTCAAACAACAGAAAGCACAGGAACTAGCAACCCACATCATACGGTAGAAGATCCAGTAGAACCAATGCATTATGAAGTAGGAGGAAGAAGACCATTAACCAATACAAGACGTAGTAAAGCAGATCCAAATAAAAAATATAGGTTTCATGGAAAGCGTAGACAACCAGACATGAGTATACAATTACAGCCAGCA